GAGTGGAGCAGTGTTGGGGGCACCGTGCAAGAGGGCTGGAGGGGCAAAGGCAAGCGACAGGGCTGGAGACGGAGCCGGGGCCTGGGTGTTGGGCAGGCAGGGCGCGGGGCTCTGGCATGCCCTCCCCCACTCGCTGCGAGGCCTGTCTCCGAGAGTCCTCTCCACTGCGCTGCCCAGCCGCTGCGGCCCACTGGACCCGTGAGAGAGCTCCACTCCCTCGGCCGGGATCTCGCAACCATGCCTGCCGCTGCAGGGCCCGTGGCTGTCTGTCGGTCTGAGGTCTGTGTGGTCCGCTCAGGATAATCGCTGCGGACAACTCGAGCACCGCTCAGACAGATGGTCCGGCCTCCCGGCCCCGACATCTCCCACCACTGCATCAAGCCAAATTACTCAGCCCCCCCCAGCCCCGGGCTCTGGCGAAATCCGATTAACGAGGAGAGAGCTGCGCTGAGCTGACAGCTCCTCCGATAATTGCTTCCCAAGTAAGCAATGCAAATCAGCCCATCCAGCCTCTTCCTGCTCCTCTCCTGGGGACCCAGGCACCCAGGCCGCGGGAGACAGGGGAGGGCACTTGTGTGGGCGATGCTGGTAAGCTGTCGCCTCCCTCCGGTTCTTTGAGGTGGGGAGCGAGCGGTGGTGAGGCTGAGCCAGGGCCCCTCTGGCTGTGCGTTTATCTCAAGGAGAGGGGGTCACCTCTGCCTCCTCCTCTTAGAGGAGAATCCTAGGTACCCATTTCCCTGTAAGGTAGATGAAGGCAGAGATACAGAACACAAAAGGACTGGGGCCGAAGCTGGTAAGAACCAAATGGATGTTTGGTGCGGTGGTTAAGATGCGGCTAGGAAGCCGGTGTCCCACGTCCCAGTCCCGGATTCCAACCCAGCTCCACTTCTGATTGCAGCTGCCTGCTAACGCGTGCTTGGGGAGGCAGCAGGTGATGGCTCAAGTCCTTGGGTCCCTGTTTCCTGGCTCCTGGCTTCTGCCTGACCCAGCCCCAGCTCTGGGAGCGTTTGTGGGGGGGTGGGGGTGGGGATGAACCAGCAGATGGAAGATCTTTCTCTGTTTCCATCTCTCTGCCTTTCAGATAAAATTAAAAAAAAAAAAAAAAAAAAAAAAAGACTTTCGGCCCGCACTGTGGCACAGCGGGTTAATACCCTGGCCTGAAGTGCCGGCATCCCATATGGTGCCAGTCTGAGACCTGGCTCCTCCACTTCCTATCCAGCTCTCTGCTATGGCCTGGGAAAGCAGTAGAGGATGGCCCAAGGATGGTCCCTGCACCCACGTGGGAGACCCGGAGGGAGCACCTGGCTCCTGGCTTCGGATCAGCTCAGCTCCGGCCATTGCGGCCAATTGGGGAGTGAACCAGCGGATGGAAGACCTCTCTCTCTCTCTGCCTCTCCTCCCTCTGTGTAACTCTGCCTTTCAAATAAAAATACATAAATAAATAAATAAATAAAATCTTTAAAAATAGTGATAATAAAAAGACTTTTGGAAAGCAACGGGGTGATGAACTCACAGCCCAGCGCCCCTAGTTCCTCAGTGTGGGGAAGTGGTTGGGAGTGGGGCCCGTGGGGCCTGCAGGGAGCTTGCAATGTGAGTCCCTTTCCCCCAGGCTTGGGGAGAGACCTGAGGGTTAAGGCCCCACTTGTGGGAAGTGGGCCGTGTTGCAGGCATCCCTGGAGACGCGAGGCCTCTGACCCAAGCTTGGGCCTTGGAATGAGAGGGACGTGCCCTTGGCCTGCAGTGGCTCCTGCTCTCCTCACCTCTCAGGGACCCCTCTTCCTGTCCCCAGGGCAGGACACTTTTTTTTTAAGTTGCCATCGTAACCATTTTTTAAAAAAGATTGATCTATTTGTTTGAAAGGCAGAGTTACAGAGAGAGAGGCAGAGAGAGAGAGAGAGGTCTTCCATCTGCTGGTTCACTCTCCCATTGGCCGCAATGGCCAGAGCTGCACTGATCCGAAGCCTGAAGCCAGGACCTTCCTCCAGGTCTTCCACGCAGGTGCAGGGACCCAAGGACTTGGGCCATCCTCCACTGCTTTCCCAGGCCATAGCAAATAGCTGGATCAGAAGTGGAGCAGCCGGGACTCGAACCGGCCATCAATATGGGATGCCAGCACTGCAGGTGGTGGCTTTACCTGCTACGCCACAGCACCGGACCCAAGGGGGGGCAGTTTTAAGGGCCTGTTAGTGCCTCTCCCATAATGCCTTTCCTTCCTACATCGTCTCCTCTGGCTGTCTTTCTCTGACCCCCTCATCCCACCTCCCGCTGACCCTGGAGACTGACAAGTGCTTTCCTTGCTCTCCTGAACGCCCAGCCCCCAGCCCTGGGCTGCACCTGTCCCTGCCGTAATTGCAATCTCCAGGGCTGAGTGGCCTGGCCTTGTCCTTAGTGTCGTGGATCTTACCCATTTCTGTGGCCTGGAACCTGCACACCCAAATTAGCTTCTGCCTGAGACCCTGGCTGTGGGCATTGCAACACCTGTGCCGCCAACCCGCATGGAGCACAGGTTCTAGCTGGCTGGTGCAGTGAGCACGTTGTGGCATTAAGTCAGCGTTATAAAAGAAGACACAAACTCCAGCGATGACTCCATTAGCCGCAGAGATAATTCAGAGACAGAGACATTAAGTAGCTTGCTCAAGTTCACCACCGCTACTTGCTGGGATTCCAATCCTGGCTGCTTCACTCCAAAGCCCCGCCCCACACCCAAGGCCTCTGCTACCTGCTGTGCTGCCTTTTCTCTATAATACTCTTTTTTTTTTTTTAAGATTTTATTTATTTATTTGAGCGGTAGAGTTACAGACAGCGAGAGGGAGAGACAGAGAGAAAAGTCTTCCTTCGTTGGTTCACTCCCCAGATGGCTGCAATGGCCAGAGCTGCACCGATCCGAAGCCAGGAGCCAGGTGCTTCTTCTGGGTCTCCCACGCAGGTGCAGGGGCCCAAGGACTTGGGCCATCTTCCACTGCTTTCCCAGGCTACAGCAGAGAGCTGGATTGGAAGTGGAGAAGCCAGGTCTCGAACCGGCGTCCATGTGGGATGCCGGCGCTTCAGGCCAGGGCGTTAACTCGCTGCGCCACAGCTCCGGCCCCTCTATAATACTCTTTTAAAAGTGCATTTTAATTTATCTGTTTGAGAGACACTGAGGCAGAGACACAGAGAGCTCCCATCTGCTGATTCCCTTCCCAAATGTCTGCAGCAAAACCAGAAGCCAGGAAATCAATTCAGGTCTCCCGAGTGGGTAGCGGGAACCCAACTCCTGGCACAACCACCTGCTGCCTCCCTGAGTCGGCATGAGCAGGAAGCCGGAGACAGGAGCCAGAGCCAGGTATTGAACCCGCGCCCTCTGATGTGGGACACTGGTGTCTTAACCATTGCTAGGCCAAATGCCCGCCGCTCAGTGCTCTCTCAGGGTCTGCTGGGAGGACTGCGAGCGGGTGCAGCAGAGTGGAGCTGGCAGAGGTGACTGCTGAGAGCTCAACACCAGAGCCCCCTCCCCGCTGCCCCAGACCAGCATGTCCCGAGCTGAGCAGACCGATACCTGGTGTCTAGGGCAGGGGGGACGCGGGCCCCGTCTCCTCCCATTCCCACTCTTTGTTTCCTGTAGTTGGAGGCCCAGCCTTAGACCAGCCGGCCCCCACTCCAGGGTTATGTAGACCAGGAAGGGACGCAAACCTCCCCAGAAGCCCAAGTGAGCTGCAAGTCAGAGCTGGGACCGCCAGACGCCCATAGATGGCGCTCACGGCCCAACACAGCCCTGGCTGTTCGCGGAAACCAAAGGAAAACAAGTGAGCCGGTTAACCCCTTCCTGCCTGGGCTCCGCCCAAGAAGCAGGTTGGTTGGTTGTGCAGGGCACCTCCAAAGGCCAGGTGACCCCACTCTTCAGCCTCTGCCCCTTATTTCTGGACGATCTTGCTCTGAGCTCCCTTGAGAAGATGGGCTTACAGGGAAACAGTTATCCAGTTCTTCCAGGAAGTGGGATTTCGGGGGCGGGGATCCTGGGTGTGTGTGGGGTCTCTGTCTGTCACTCATTTCGGTCATTATTATTCTGCCAGAGGCCGACTTGGAGTGTGGAGGGGCTGCCAGGGTAATAAACCTAAGTGCTGGGCTAGCGAGTGGCCAGGGCAGCGGAGAGCACGTGGAGCAATGAGATGACGCCACCGTGATGATCCCCCTCGTCCCGAGTTTTGTCCCGGGACGCAAGGCAGAAATGGGGGACCGAGGGTCACTGCTCAAAGCTCCCCGAAGCTCCTGCTCCACCCACCACGTCTGGTCTGTTGCTAGGAAACCAGAGGAAGCTGGGGAGGGGCAGCATCCTTACTTTCTCGCCTCTTGCCGTTCCGGGCTCACTGGTCCCCTTCCCCATCACCTGCAGAGACTTGGCTCCTGTGTTCAGAGTCCTGGCTGTGCTCAGCTTTGCGTGTCGAGGGTGGGAGGAATCTAGAGGGCAGCTGGCCTCAGGAGGTTTCCCCTCGATGGAAATCGATACAGAAACAGATCCAGAGAGAGAACAAGAACAAACCTGGACTAGAACCGTTCTGGACATTGGCCTTGGGACAGGCTGCTGAGGGGAACAGACTGGCAGGTGCAGTGTTGGCCTCCGAGTGTGACAGAGTGTTGGAGGAGGGGGGTTTGAAAGGATGGTGAGTGAGGAACTGTGGATGGCTGAAGTTAGAACATCCTTTCGGAAGTGTGGTGACTGAACTTTAGTGCCGGACGATGCCATTTAGTGCTGGAAACCAGGATCTCCCGCAGGTTCTTTGAAGAACCTGACTTGGTCTCAAGACCTGCGGATCGTGCCCTGATGGAAAGGGAAAACTACAAGTCCCAGCGTGCCTTACAGCCGACTTAGCGTAGCTTCCGGAGGTTTGAGCATTTCCGGCGGAAGTAGCCACGGGTACGCCAATCCCCTTTCCTAAATAAAGTTAACTACGATTCCCACAGCCCTTCGCGCCGGGGGCGGGGAAAGGAACCGGAAACCGGATGGGTTGCTGGACCAGGTGAGGAAGTAGGAGGTGGCGGGGAACCTGCGATTCTGGGGGGCAGGCTGGAGGCTTTCAGGGCCCCCGGGCTGGAGCGGAGCGGCGACTCAGGATGTCCTGCGCTCCGTCTGGGGCCAGCTTGGGTGCAGGAAGAGCCGAGCCCTCGAAGCCACCCAGCAGGCCTGCGGGATCGAGGCTCTCCCGTCGGGCGGAGCCCGCGGGCGCTGGCAGAAGTTGCGTGCGGTGCCTTAGTCGTCGGCCGCCTCGGACGAGGGGTGAAATGGGGCATTTGAGTCCGTACCCTATAGTTATTTTACGTATTTTGTTGGCCCTGTGGGGTTCCAGCGTGCCTCCAGGGGACAGTGCAGTGGACAGTCTTCGGTCGCTTCTTCGCTTCCTCTGTTTTCTTGTCCCCGGGACCCTCCCTGCTACCTCTGCACTTAGTGTCGTGCGACATCACGTTTTCTAAAACAGCGCCATCTCCTAAGCCTCTGGCCCTTGGCGACTTTGGGTAGAAGTTCCAGCTTCCTGGAACTGGCTCTCTTTCCCACGGAGAGACTCGTAAATATAGAAACAGACGAATCAACAGCTAGCGGGAGGTCGAAGGAATGTGTGCTTCCCACGGAGAGGCGAGTTCTCCAGCGAGCCCTCCTAGAAGTGAACCGGGGGCTAGGTTTCAAGTCCGTTGTAGCCTACTGTTAGCCTCTGGTGGTTGCTGTGGATCAGGCTTAGGAACCCCGGACACGAAAAAGCAGACTGCAGCCTTGCTGTGTGCAGCCCACGAGTCAGGCGTGGACCCAGCCTGGGGTTCCGAGAGGCCCCAGCGCCGCAGCAGCCGGCCCGCGAGTGGTGCTGCCTGAGGAGTTGCAAAGCAGGGTCCCCGTGGAATGTTTGCCACAACTGCTCCTGGGTAGCTGCCCGGACAGACCGGTTAGAGACTGCTGACGTCAGCCGTGGAAGGACTTGTGTGTTCGGCCTCTGGTCCCTCTATTTTGTCTCCCGCTCCCTGTGGGCTAGAGTCAGAGACCAGGTTGAGGGGTGAAAGGGGAAGAGATGGCCCTGGACCTGGGCTGGGGTGAGGAGGGAAGAGCAGCAGTGATGCGGTCACACCCAGAGCCTGGGAGGCCCTCAATGCCAAGTGTGCAGAGTGGGCAGCTGAGGATCGAGTGGCCTCAGAATATAGATACAAGTGCAGGGAGGCCATCAGGAGTGGCTCCTTGGTAGGAAGTAGTTTTAAATATTGCCTTATTTATTTGAAAGGAAAAGAATGAATGATCTCCTTTCCACTGGCTCACTTCTCAAATGGCTACAACAGCTGGGGCTGGGCCAGGCAAAGGCAGGAGCCTTGGAACTCCATCTGGGTATCCTGCAGGGGTGGCAGGGGCCCAAGCACGTGGACCATCTTCCGCTGCCCTCCCGGGCACATTAGCAGGGAGCTGGATGGGCAGTGGAGTGGCCAGAACTCAAACCAGCACTCCCAGGTGGGATGCCAGCATTGCAAGTGGTGGCTTAACTGGCTGCCCCGCAGCGCTGACCCCAGAAAGTACTTTGCAGGGAGACTGAAAACAAAGGCACGGATAAGGCTGAATAGATACTTGCTGAGTATCAGTTGAGAGCTGGGACCTTGGAGTTCTGAAGGGAAATTGGATAGGTGCTGGCCCCTGCTGTACTCAGCGCAGCCACTGACTGGGGTGGGGGGGGAATCTGTGATGGGCTCAGCCTTCACCCACCGTGAGAATTAGCCGAGGAAGTGAGTTTGGCATCCTAGGGCCTAGCAGTTAAGACAGCTGTGCTCCACATAGGGGTGCCTCTGGTTTGCTTCCCACTTCTGGCTTTTGCTAAAGCACATCCTGGGATGGTCGGAATAAGTAGGTTCCTGCCCCCCAGGAGAGAGACCTGGACTGTGCTCCTGCTTCTGCCCTGGCCCGGCCCCGGCCGTTGTGGGCATCTGGGGAGTGAACCCGCAGATGGGAGCTCCGGCTCGCCATCTCTAAATAAATAAATAAATAAATAAATAAATACAGTACGGACGCCTCCCACGGGACCGCCTTGTTTGTGGGGTGGAGCTGCAGTGTTGTGGAGGAGCCACTTTATCAAAGGGATTTTAAAAAATGAAGACAGCTGTGTGATTAAAAAGTTTATTTTCATCTACTTGAAGGGCAGAGCAACAGAGAGAGGGTGAGAGAGAGAGATCCTGCATCCCCTGGCTTACCCCCCAGATGCCCACAGCAGCCACTCCCCAAAGGGCTGGGCCAGGCCGAAGCCCGGAGCCTAGCACGGCGTTGTGTCCTGGTCTCCCACGTGGGTGGCGTCCCCTCCGGCCGTCCTCGGCTGCCTCCTAGGATGCACGCGAGCAGGAGACTGCGTTGATCCAAGGTGAAGAGACGGGACCGGAGCTGGCCGCGGGACACGCAGGCTGAGCCGGGATGCCTGCCCTCGAGAGGACGGGCCGGACTGCACCCTGAAGCATGGGTAGGCACCGATGTCCGGGGAGGCGGGGCGGCCCGGGCCGGGTAACAGGCCGCCTGTCAGCTGGGGTCCTCAAGAGGGGCGTTTCAGGGGCTTTGTAGAAGTGGCACGTGGAGAGTTTTGGGAGGTGGGTTAAGAAAGGTCTTTTTTTTTTTTAAGATTTGTTTATTTACTTGAGGGAGATGCGGGGGCGGGGGGGCGCGGTCTTCCATCCGCTAGTTCACTCCCCAGGTGGCCATGACACCTGGAGCTGAGCCAGTCTGAAGGCAGGAGCCGGGAGCTTCTTCTGGGTCTTCCACGTGGGTGCAGGGGCCCAAGGACTTGGGCCATCTTCTACTGCTTTCCCAGGCCATAGCAGAGAGTTGGATCAGAAGTGGAGCAGCTGGACTCAAACTAGCGCCCCTGTGGGATGCCGGTGCCACAGGTGATGGCTTAACCCACTGCGCCACAGCGCCGGTCCCTAGGAAGGTCCTGAAGTGCGAGTGGAGTGGTCAGGTTGGCGCTCTGGGTTTGCGTGGGAGGAGGAGCGGTCTTGGTGTTTCCAGAGCCAGCTGTCGTGCCGCCCCCCCCCCCCCCCCGCCTCCTCTCATGCCATATTCCATCCCTGTATCAGCATTAGCGAGTGGATGTTGTATCCTGAGTTGTTCACGGGGAGCCTGCGTCTCCGGCCGTGGTCGCACAGCTGCTCAGAGTCTGTTCTGCGCCTGTTAACCCTGCTCAGCACTCAGGGCGCGTGGAGGTGGGAGAGAGGGCAGGCCGGCTCGTCACAGCGTCCGACGCGGGGCAGTGGAAGACCCACAGCATCACCTGGCCTGGTCCTGCTGAGGCAGCCGCAGGCTGGGCTTGACATGCTGTTAAGTCTAGAGCAGGCTGGCTTCCAAGTAGAGAATTTCGCGTGGCCCGTGGGTGGTGTTATAAAGATCCAAATGGCCCCTGGAAGAAAGGCGGGTCCCTGCCCCTGGTCTACGGTAAGATGGCGTGCGTGGTGTGAGTATAGCCTGTGTCTGTTTGGGTTTACATCCCAGCTTTCTGCTCGCTGCCTGTGACACCCTGGGCAAGTTGCTTGATCTCGCTGAGCCTCGGCCCCCTCCCCCGTCACGAGGGAGCGATTACGCCCACCTCCCAGGGTTGTTAGGGGGCTCAATGAGCTGTACCTGGTGTCGAGCAATTGCCCGCCACCTGGAAGCGATTGTCATAGCCCTCCCCGGTCCCCGGGCTGTGGCTGTGCACCTGCGTCCCGTTCTGCAGCCCAGTGGTCCCCAGGACGCATACGGCTGGGTTTGCTTCATTACGAGTGACGGTACAGGTGCCGAAAGGCGGCTTGAAAACCTACGTTGTTCCTACGGTGGCCCGGGAACAAGGCTCGGACCTGTGCCTGCTGCAGAGGAGGCGTGGTTTATTCTCACCAGGTGGCAGAAGAAGAGGAAGAAGGCAGTGGGGAGGGGCGGGGTCTTCGTTACCTAGGCCCGAGATGCGCTCAGACCTTTGTGGGGGTTGGTGATGACTAACATGCCCTCTTGGGCTCCGTCCTGAGCCTGGGGATAGCAGAGGGGGCATGGCCAGCACAGAGAGACCCCCAACACCACTGCACACACTTCGGGGCTGAGAGCTAATGGGGCCCCTGTCCATCTCTTTTCCAGGTGACAGCAGCATGGCTGTGCCCCAGATCACCCCACTTGGCTCCCTCCAGGAGCCTGCAGGTGCCCCGATGCAGTCCCAGCCCTGCCCTCGGAGCTTGGCTGAGGGCTTCCTGGAGGAGGAGCTTCGGCTCAATGCTGAGCTGAGCCAGCTGCAGTTTTCGGAGCCCGTGGGCATCATCTACAATCCCGTGGAGTACGCGTGGGAGCCACATCGGAGCTATGTGACTCGCTACTGCCAGGGCCCCAAGGAAGTGCTCTTCCTGGGCATGAACCCGGGGCCTTTTGGCATGGCCCAGACTGGGGTGAGGGGCCTGGCTTCCCTGTGCTGGGCTGGGAGACTGCAGGGTGGGCGTCGTGCGCGTGTGCGTGAGCCAGGGGGGGCATAGCTGTGGCCGTGTGTGGGTGCCCCGCCCCGTCCCTCCCCGCACACACACTGGCTCCGGTGGTCTCGGACGCTCCCCAGCCTCCCTGCCTGGACTTAACCGAGCGCATTAATGAGAGTTCCGTTTCCCCTGTGAGCTGGCCGCTAATGGCCTCTGAGAGCCCTTCCTTCCGCCAGCCCCATCCTGAGCGTGCCTCGCCGGATCTCCCCTGTCCCTGGAGCGCCGTCGGGGTCCTCGCAGGGCATCCTGCAGCCTGGGCTTGGTGCCCTGCCCAGGAGAGGTCTGGAGCAGTGCCCACTCCAGGGCCCGCTTCCTCCTCCCTGCTCAGGATGAGTGACTGCCCCTCGGTGGGGTGCCTGGCGGGTGGGGGAGGGGAAGAGGCTTCAGGGCAGGAGGCTCAATCGCTTTTATTGACCCCAACTGGGTGATGAAAGGTGATCGATGCTGATCGATGGAGATGACAGCCCGAGGGCTAGGGCTGGGAGGGCACCTGGAGAGCAGTGGTCAGCCTTGTCCTTGTGCCTCCTTTAACCCTGGCCGCCTTCTGCTCTCAGGCCATCGGTCTGTCCCCAGCACTAGCCTTGTAGCCCTGTAAAGGGCCGGATGCCCGACCCCAGAGGCCAGCAGTGGGTAGAGGCACAGTCCACGGTGGAGAAGGGGAGAGAGGTGGACAGGACCAAAGCCGGGCCCGGAGTCCTTGTCTCAGGCCTGTGGCGAAGGTGGGGGGTATCCAGGGTCCTCGGGGGAGGCAGAAAGGGGCCGGGTGGTCCTGACCAGGCGTCAGGGCTCCGATTGGAAGCCCCTCATGGCTCTCTCCTTCCCCACAGGTACCCTTCGGGGAAGTGAGCGTGGTCCGGGACTGGCTGGGCGTTGGGGGGCCTGTGCTGAGCCCGCCCCAGGAGCACCCTAAGCGCCCCGTGCTGGGACTGGAGTGCCCGCAGTCAGAGGTGAGCGGCGCCCGGTTCTGGGGTTTTTTCCGGAACCTCTGCGGACAGCCCGAGGTCTTCTTCCGTCACTGTTTCGTCCACAACCTGTGCCCCCTGCTCTTCCTGGCTCCCAGCGGGCGCAACCTCACCCCCGCCGAGCTGCCCGCCAAGCAGCGCGAACAGCTTCTCGGCATCTGCGACGGGGCCCTCTGCCGGCAGGTGCAGCTGCTGGGGGTGCGGCTGGTGGTGGGGGTGGGGCGGCTGGCGGAGCAGCGGGCGCGCCGGGCCCTGGCCGGCCTGACGCCAGAGGTCCAGGTGGAGGGGCTCCTGCACCCCTCTCCCCGTAACCCGCAGGCCAACAAGGGCTGGGAGGCAGTGGCCAGGGAGAGGCTCAGGGAGTTGGGGCTGCTGCCACTGCTGAGTGCGTGAGTGCCCTCGGGGCCTGGCGTGGGATGCGTTCGAGGTCCCCGGGTGGCTTTTGTACCCGCAGGAGGCTGGCTGCACTTGGGCCCGGAGCGGCACAGTCTTCTGCACTTCCTGTTGCCCGCACACGGGTCCCTTGGACTCTTGAACCGCTGCTGCCGTGCGGCGGGCGTTTCGACACTACACTCTCCACGTGCCCGATTCACTTCCCGTGAGCGCTGCCTCTGTCTCTGGCCTCGCCCCTCGCAGGGAGCCCGCCCGCTCTGCGTGGCGCCTGCAGACTACCTCCTCGTTGCCTGGGCGTCCTCTGCCAGCGGTGACGCCCAAGGTGGCATTTGCTCCCTCCTCACCAGGACAGGACAAGGCACGGGATGCTGAGGGCCTGGGTTGGAGGGAGAATTCATCGTGGGGACAGGGTGGGAAAGTCAGAAGACTTGGGGTTCCCTCCCAGCTTTGGGACCTCGGGAACTTGATCACGGACAAATGGATGAAACTCTGCACGCCTCAGGAGCCTCGCCCGTAATGGAGGGGATGCTGCCTCCTGGGCGGGCCTGAGGCTTAACCTGGCACAGGCTGGCACGCGGCGGGGGGCGGGGGGCTCGCTGCCCTGCACCCCCTGAGAAGCCCCTGTCCGCCCCCAAGACCCTGGGTGAGGGCCAGGGGCTCGCTCTGCCAGACGGGGCCCAGTGAGTTGATGACATCTCAGCCTGTGATACTTCTTCGAAGCATTAAAAGCTCCTAAACTCTCTGGTCTCGGTCCTTGCCTCCCCCTTCCCAGTCCCCTCTCGTGTGTATTGTGTAGAGCTCCCAGCCCTTGGCTGTTTGCAGTGGATTCGCTTGCATAACAAGTCACTAATTGCCACACCAAAGCTATACGGCCTCCGTTAGGGTCCTGTCCATGGTTTGTTCTTGGGGTGTGTAGGGAACAGCTCATGGCATGGGTAAGAGCCTGGTGTCTAAGTTTTTGTCTCCTGATTTTTTTAAATATTGTCAAACTTAATCTTTTTATCAAGTTTATTTTTTTAAAGATTTTATTTATTTGAATTACAAAGGGAGGGAGGGGGAGAGAGAGAGGACTTTGATCCACTGGTTCACTCTCCAAATGGCTGCAACAGCTGGAGCTGAGCCATTCAAGCCAGGAGCCAGGAGCTTCTTCCAGGTCTCCCACGTAGGTGCAGGGGCCCAAGGACTTGGCCATCCTCCGCTGCTTTCCCAGGTGCATTAGCAGGGAGCTGGATCACAAGTGAAGCAGCCAGGACTCAAACCAGTGCCTATATGGGACAACAGTGCTGCAGACCAGGGCTTTAACCCACTGCACCACAGTGCTGGTCCCTAAATTTTTTTTTAAAAAAGGATCTATATTTATTTGAAAGAGTTACAGAGCAAGAGACCCTCCATCCGCTCTCCAATGGCTGCAGCAGTCAGGGCTGAACCAGGAGTTTTTTCTGGGTCTGGCATTTGGGTGTCATGGGCCATCTTCTGCTTTCCCAGGTCATTTGCAGGGAGCTGGATTGGAAGTGGACCAGGTGGGAGTTGAACCAGCACCTGTATGGGATGCCGGCATTGCAGGAGGTGGCTTTACCTGCTACATCACAACACTGGCCCCAATTTGTCTCCTTTTTCGAGGAAATGTTTATTTTTACTACTTGAAAGGCAAAAACAATGGAAAGACAGCAAGGCATTTTGGTTCACTCTCAAAATGCCCACAATGGCCAGGGCCGGGTCAGACCAAAGCCAGGAGCCCGGAATTCAGTGTGAGTCTCCCACATGAGTGACAGGGGCCCGAGCACTTGAGCCATCACCTGCTGCCTCCCAGGGTGCTTCGGGAGGAAGCTGGATGAGGAGTGGGACTTGAACTGACAGTCCAGGATTGCATGCAGGTCTCCCACGTGGCAGCTTAAACGTCTGTGCCACAGCGCTCACGTTTCCTGTCTCCGTGACACACACTGTGTGGTTCACGCCTCAGGTGGCTGCAGTGGCCAGAGCTGGGTCAAAGCTGGGAGCTGGGAATACTTGGGTGGCAGGAACCCAATTGCTCGAGCCATCACTGCTGCCTCCCAGCGTCCACACTGAGGTCAGGAGCCAGAGTCTTCACCACAGGCTTCACCTGCTCCGATCCCTTTCTCTTATGCCTGCTGAGTGGTTGGTTGGATTCTCCTTTGGTAAGGGCTGGGTGAGGTGGGTGAGGTGGGAGCGGAGCAGGTGGTGAGACCACATACATGAAGAACACACAGTGTATTCCCTGTCTCCAGGACATGGGTCGTCCCCAGTTTCCAGAGTCACTTAGGTTTTTAGTAAGACCTTCCTGCTGTCACACCTCAATAAAGAATGTGGGTTTTGTTCTTAGTTCCTGAGAGGGAGCCCTCAGTCTTTGGGATTTCTCAGGTGGTGGCAATGTCTGGATTATTCGGGGGTTGGAGGGAGCCCTCGAGCCACACCTGGATTTCGGCTGAGATCCGACTGCAGGCCACACCTGAGCTCACACTTGGCTTTGCTTCGGCTCAGGACGGAGGCTGATGTGAGAAAGACCAGGCGACAGAGGAGTTGGGTGTCAGCCTGAACTCCAGGGGGAGGGGGCCGGAGACTGGGCTCAGCCCCACGAGGAGGGGGAGGGTCTCTCGGTCCACCTCCTCCCACCAAGTGTTAAACGTTCACCCCCTTCCACCCCCCCCCCCCCACATTCAACCTGGTAGAGACCAAGGCCGAGCTGGGAAGCAGGTGCTTCTGAGATGCTACAGGGTAGAGTTTGCCAGAGGAGAGAATTCCCCGCCCTCCCCTCTGACGGAGGATGGGTATGGGGTGGGCCACTCTCTGGTCCTTTCCTTTCCTTTCTTGACATTTATGGGTGACCTCGCTGTCATCCCCTGTGCTAGGCACTGTAGGAGCAACAGGGGTGAATTGGGGATTCTTCTGCCCTCAGCATTGTCCGTGTCTAGTGCCAGGAAACGCAGGCATATAATTAGCGTATAAATCACACGGAGAGCATGGCGTGAACAAGTTATAAACACAGCGCTCTGGGGACACTGAATGAGGATGCGATTGGCCCCGGGGGTGGGGGGCTGGGTAGGAGAGGGCTGTGATGGGAGGCTTCGGCGCTCACCACTCGCTAAATCTTACCACCTCTGTGAAATGGATGCTTGCAGAGAGGGGGCCGCTAGGTGAGATATGGGCAGGAGGCCTCAGCCAGGACTGCCAGCGCTAGGAAACAGGACAGGGGAGGAGCTCACGGGCCCGGCATTAGGCGGCAGCCGGGGGCTGGGCACGAGCAAGGCAGGGGCCGTGGGAGATGGGAAATGGAGCTTCCTTTCAGAGCCGATCTCTCCTTTTCAAACATTTTTATTTGTAAGGCAGAGTGATAGAAAAAGACAGATCTTCTGTTTTCTGGTTCACTTCCCGAATGCCCACAATGGCTAGGGCTGGGCCAGGCCAAAGCCCCGAGCTGGGAACTCTGTCCAGGTCTCCCATGTGGATGGCAGGGACCCCTGTACTTGAGGCATCGTCTGCTGCCTCCCAGGACACACATCAGCAGAAGCGGAGCGGGGACTTGGACCTGGGCACTCTGCTAAGTCATACAGGTATCCCAGCAGCCTCTTAGGTGCCGTGCCAAGTGCCCACCCCCAGAGAAGACCTCTTCTTCTCCTTCTTCTTTCTTCTTCTTTTTTTCTTTTCTTTTCTTTTTTTTTTTTTTTTTTTTTTTTTTTTTGACAGGTAGAGTTAGACAGTGAGAGAGAGAGAGAAAGCAGAGAGAAAGGTCTTCCATTGGTTCACCCCCCAAATGGCTGCCTCGGCTGGCGCTGCACCAATCCGAAGCCAGGAGCCAGGTGCTTCTCCTGGTCTCCCATGGGGTGCAGGGCCCAAGCACTTGGGCCATCCTCCATTGCACTCCCTGGCCACAGCAGAGAGCTGGCCTGGAAGAGGAGCAACTGGGACAGAACCGGCGCCCCAACCGGGACTAGAACCCGGGGTGCTGGCACCACAGGCAGAGGATTAGCCTAGTGAGCTGCGGCGCCGGCGGGGTCATCCTCTACTGTTTTCCCAGGCCATAGCAGAGAACTGGATCAGAAGAGGCACAGTCAGGACTCGAACCAGCGCCCATATGGGATGCCAGCGCTGCAGGCAGCTGCTGAGCCCACTACATCACAGTTGAATTGCTTTCTTCTTCAGAGGCCTGACAGCCAGCTTGGCCCAAGCCCATGCTTAGCCAGTCAAGGCTGAATTATAACGTATTTGGGGAAACTCTCTCTCCCCCTGGTTTTGGCCGTGGCTGTCTGGAAGACAAGACATCTGCAGCGGCAGTGTCTCGCACGGCTCCCTGCCCACTCTTCTGCCCCTGCGTCCTGCCCAAGGATGCTCAGCCTGACGTCAGCCTCCTGGCCCCCGCTCGCACAGGCGATGGCCGAGCGCCCAGAGCAGCCCTCCGTGGCGGCCTGTGCCAAGCCCGCTCGCCATCTCCACTCTCGTTAATTGAAGCCACTTGACCCTGACCATTTCAGGCCAGCAATTTCCTGTCTGCCCGTCAGGAGCGTGGGGAGGACGGGCCTGCGCCGGTCACTCTGTCCTTCCATCTGCCTTGATGGTGCCAACTCCTCACCCAAGCTGCACACACGGGGCTCCCCACGCGAAAGCGCAGCATTGCTCCTTGGCATTGTCGAGACTGCTGAGAAAGGCCTTCCTGGTGCCGGCCCTTGAGGGGGTGGGCAGGCCTTGCCTTGAGCGTCTGATCCCCCTGTGAGGCCACAGGGCTGGCATGGCACGCTGGTGCTGCCGGTGTGGTAGTGTGGCTCAATGAGCACTGCTCTGGGGGTGAGCTGTGCGTTCCTGGGTAGTGGGTGTGAGTCTGGTGCATTACACGCTTTGGGGTACTTTTCTGATCCATGGGATCTTTTTTGCCTCTGCATTTTTGCATCTTCCAGATGGACGCTTGTGTAAGTGAGCAATGGCCCGCTTTTTGCCGCCTGGTGCTTTTGTAGTGTGTGGTATTGTGTAGCCTCTGCGTTTTGGTGCATCTTCCGGGGGCTCGTGTCTTTCCGAGTGTCCTCTGGCTCGGTTCGGGAGGGAGGGGAGAAGGAGCCCAGACTCGAAGGGAAGCCTTCGGGGGTGGTGAGGACGTGTCAGGGGCTGGGGGGTGGGGGGTGCTGCAATCTGTGACTTGGAAAACAGATTTGCGGAGGCGGCGAGCAGCCCGGGCGCGCGGGGCGTGCGGGGCGGGGGCGGGGGCCGCTCTGGCCCCCAGCTCCTCCGCAATCCAATTAAATAACATTTAAATGCATAACCAGCCCGCGCGGCGATGAGGCTGGAGATTGGAGCGGGCGCGGCGGCGGGCGCGCGGGCGGCGTTTTGTGGAGCTCAGCGATTCTGGCGGCAATTTCCCCCCGCTCGGCGCGGCTTTTACGAGCCCGCTCCCGGCGCCGCGCCCGCTCCGCTGCGCCCGCCCCGCTCCCGATCGCTTCCCGCCACTCCCCGCCTCCGCGCGGTTCCCCCTCGCCGCCTCTGCAGCCTTCTGGTGTGTCCGCGTGCGTGGCCTCGGGTACTTCTCTGCCTCGCCGCCTGCCCCTGGTTCCCTGCCTGTCTCCCCTTCTGTGCGTCTGTCTGTCTGTCTCTCTGGGTGCCTGTCTGACGCCCTCCTGGGCTGCCCATCTCCGGCTCCTGCCATCTGTCAGCTTTTCGCTGTTCTGCCTTTGACTTTGACCTCGGTCTTCTGGCTGGTGCTTTCCGGCTCCGCTCCTCTCTAGAGCACCTGCTTGAA